CCCCAAAACCCCAAAACCCCAAAACCCCAAAACCCCAGAATACACCAAAAATCTTGAATTTTCAATATTTTCTAAAATGCCATTTCTCCTCTAAAAATCCCTCTCTCATCTTCCTACTGACTATTTTTCTATACCAAAGCATCATCTCTTGCCCTTCCCATCCTCCTTACCACCGATCCAGCTACTGATCCTTCCTTACTCAGCATCTCCATCTTAGTTGATACAACTACAAGTTTCTCAAGTTCCTCCGCCTAAAGCAGTCACAACCCCCAAAACTCCAAAAATCCCACACAAAATTCATCAAAACCCCAATTCCTTACCTGAACTTGTGGATTCCTTGCCCTAAGAGGTTTCGAAATATTAGAAGTACTATTGCGCCTTGTCTGACCAAATGCAGCCTATTCTCAAAAGGAAAATTTACTTTGTTTAAAGAAAACGTAGTGGAAGAGTACTTCCTAGCGGCGAAAGTCCGCCTCCTGGGCTGGGAATTTTTGAGATTTTTGAGGGGTTTTGGATTGAGGAAGGTGGGAAGCCTAGGGGTTAGAGGGGATGTACAGTCGGGGGTCAGTCGATTTGTACTTGTTGGAGGAAGGGTTAAGGAGGAGAGGCCGACTTTTGGTTGAAGAGAGGGAGGACCGTTTTTTGGTGGGGTCTGAAGTGCTGTTGGAAATTCTCTTTTGAGGTGTTTTATGTATCTCTAAACCTTGTGAAGATAATCGCGTCCTTATTGTCTTCCCAGCCAGCTTTGGCCGATTGGGAGTACTTTTGGGATTATTAGGAGTTGAATTAGTCTGTAGTGTCGGCTTGGTAAAATCCTGACTGATCTTAATAGGATTTAGAAGAGTTGTTTGCCTCTTGAATGACCTCTTTCCTATCTTTAACAGATTCTTATTTGAGGATCTAAGATCCTCTATTTGTTGCACACTTGTAGTACTCGAGTAATTATTTACTCTCTTTTTACTCGAAACGTTAGAGATATTGGGAATATTCTCTCTACTTTGGCCAATATTCTGGAGAAGGCCAATTTTGATTCCTAAAATTACTTAAAATTCATACCTTCTCCTGGTTTGAGCAATTCTCTTCTCTGTGGTATAAATTTCTTCTGAGATTCAGATTCTTGTGAATCACTAACTGAAACAAGTGAGCTCTGAGAATTATGAATATCTTTCAGGATATTCTTAGCAAGGGGAGTGTCAAGTTTAGACTTATTCCTTCTGTGAAAGCTAAATCTGCTAGCTTTACTAGCACTCTCATTAGTGTCTGATCTTAATGGTTTCTGCGATGAGTTTGACCTCTCTTTGACAAATTGGTCATGGCTAATATAATTCTCGAACTACTTACTTGGAGGTATATATCCCATAATCCTGCTCTCTAGCATCAAGGTCTGGAAACCGAAAGGGGCAGTAGAACAGTATATCCATTAATTGCTCATCAGTGAGATTTCTGTCAATGACTCTCCTGATGTTATCCAGGTTGTATTTAATAGATCTTTCAGATTTATTCATTCAAAACATATTTGCGATCTGATCTCTTTGTATATCAATGTATTTTACCAGATTTTCTTGTCCGTTGAGGCCTAGCTTGGCGGCAATTTGGTGTCTGTCCATGACAAATTTAGGCTCAACTTTCTCAGGAAGGAGTTCCCTCCCATCCATGGTAACCAGACTATACTTTTTTGTATTCTTAGAGTAAGATTTTTGGTTTGTAATTTTGCTATTTTCTAAAGAATTTGAGAGGATGTCATTTTCGGATTCCTTTTTATCTTTTTGAGAGATTTGCTCGCGAGACTCGCCTTCAATCAAATTCTTGGAGGACTTCCTAGATATGATTCCTTTCTGGTGTAAAATCTGTCTGACTTCAGACTTCAGAGTAAACAAGTACGGGTACTCTTTCTTAACACTGTTGTTAAATCTATTGACCCAATAATTTTGACCATTAATGGATCGAAATCTCCAGAGATGGTTGTCATTTTCAGCAAATTTTTCAACTAAAAGTTCTATCTCGTACAGAAGATGCACCAAGTTTTCATCAAGATTGAATTGATGGATAATCTCAATGATCTCAGCATCAGAAGGCTTGCCCCCAAGCGAAGCCTTGGGTACCTTCTTGATGCTTGAATGTGAAGAAGACTCTTCAAACTCTTCGAGGATTGGTGAGGATGCTCTACTCACTTTTCCCGACTGTTGAACTTTCTTTCTTATAATTTTCAGTCGAGGCAGCGGATTCGCTGTTTTAGGAGTGAGAAAGGAGGACCCTTTGCCTTTCTTGTTGTATGAAGTAAAGTAGTAATCTCAAAGATTCTCAATAAAATCATCTGTCGCATCAGGAATAATTTCTCTGATATATTGATGATAATTCGGATCTACAAGAACAGTTTCGAGATTATCATCAAGCAGCGTGTCGAGGAGTGTCAAAGAATTATGGAATTTGTTGGTGATTCTATTGAACTCTTCTTCTGACAAATGAATTGGCTTAGGCAGTGGAGTGGTTAATTCATTGAGTTTAATAAACCTCTTTGTAGACTTGTTATCAGGCTCCTTTAAAGACTCACCTGTTTCACATTTGTATTTGTTAAGAACATCTATGTCTTCGTTAAGAATCTGAGCAGCTGCACTTGATCCAAGGACAATTCTTCTTTTCATATTCCCCTTTTTGTTAGCTTTCAATTTCTCAAAATGAGCTTTACGCTTAGCTAGTTTCTCGATTGATATTTTGGTTGCCTACGAATGTTATGGACTTTAATCCTACCTCGTCGAGTAGTAATTTTTCAATAATTTTCTTATTTTTGGAATCCATGTTTGCTGTAACAACTTTATGAAAAGTTTTTATCTCAAGAAGGAAGTCATTGGATGCTCGAGTGTGGCTTCGTCTTCAAGATCATTGTAGTAAATAGTCTGTCCTTTTGGCCCTTTTTCTCTGATCCAGCCTTCAGGGAGCTTGAGATTTAGAGTCACCTCCATAAACTAGAAAATGAATTAAGAAGAGTAATACCCATCGATATTTCTTGTCAGCACGCTCATTAAAGCCTATATGTGGAGCTAGCTCCTTGGCTGCTTTCTTGTCATAGCCAACTTCAACTTCAAGTTCGTCAGTTTGAGGCTTGGTTGGTTTGAACTTCTTAAGTATCCCTTTTGTCCAGAGATGGTTTATTATCCCGGAAGATAACACATTTTTAGTCTCAGTTGTCTTAGCCTTAAGCTCTTCCTGATTATTTCATCATGATCTTGGAATATCTAAAGATAATTTAGGATATGATCAATGACAGTACAAATTTACACCTGGGGTGTACCCATTAAGCCAAATAATGCACCACTAAAGCCCCAGCTACAGAGCTTGAACCTTAACGACTACCTTTTGCCAAATGGAGACCTGTTTTGTATCTGCTTGCTTGACTTCCTCACAATTGGTTTGTTGTTTTTATGCTGAGTGTTGCTGCTAACTAGGACTATTGAGCTATCTAGTGACGAGTCTTTTGATTCCATAGTATAAAATTATTTTATTAATTTTTAGCATATTCCTTTTTGAATGAGTTCAACATGCAATTGCAATCTGGGGTTTTGGGGTTTTGGGGTTTTGGGGTTTTGGGG